TTGCGGATTTTGTTTTTATCATATCTTTTGATCCAGAAGTCTAAATAAGTCATATAATATGTCGTTGGAAAGCTATTGAAGTATAAGTTCCAACCCAATTATAATCAGATTAAAATATTCATTATATAAAAAGATATGGCCGAAACAGTAGGACAGTGTCAGTTTTTTTTAGAGTTTCATAACTCATTCATATCTTTTTCGTTATAGCTCGGAATTAATATTATAAAATATTATTGGAAAGATAATTTCAAGCTATCCAATCATATAATATAGGATAAAGATTATGAGGCACAAAAATAATATCTGACTGTCTTTTAATATCTTTAAACTCGAACATAATTAGGATTTAAAAAAAAGGAAAGTTTTTATAAAAGGAAAGTTTTTATTTAACTCAAATTCTTTAATCTTATCCTTTCAAAAAGTTTAATTAAGATATTTTAGAAACTTATGGAAGCTACTAATTTATCCTAATTAATTTAGGATTAGGATTAAACCTTCGGACTCTCCACATGATCATTGGGCCGTCGGTAAGATCCGGTTCGAGCCCAGTTTAGTATTTTGGCCATAACTTCCTCATTATTCATCTTAATGGGCTTATAATATATAGTTGGAAAGTTATTTTCAAGCCCCATCCAACTACACCATTATTTTACCCATATCATGGACCAAACTAAAATGGAATACACGTTTTTCAAAAATAGGGTAAGAAAAGAATTATTTTCAAATACAGAAAGAAGAGATATTTTAATAAAAAACATCCTCATCACTAGACTTTTCACACTTTCGCTTTGTTCGATAATCAAATGACATGAAAGGTATCCATCACTGGGTTTTGTTTTGGGAGACACATTTGGGTCTCTATAGAAGCCCCCACTTTGTCTGAGTTTTGAAAACAAAAGTCAAAGTTACGAAAGGGACATAGAATGATTCAGAATGTTCTGCAATCCTAATTCATTCTTGTAATGTCGATACCTACAAACTAGCATTAGTTAAAACAGATAAGAGAGTTAAGAAACGCATATCTTGCACCATCGAGCACTCGTCTTTGGAGATAACCAATTTGTTGCATTTACTGTTGTGACAACCTTCCACAAGCTAGGGAACGTCATCTTGTTGTTTTGATGTTCACTCGTCTCTGAAAAAAGGGCTTTTTTGATATGTTCACGCGTCTTTGAACAAAAGAGCGTTGATATGATATGCCTACGTGTCTATGAGGAAAAGAGATTTTTTCTTGAACCATAGTAACAACCTTCCCATTCATATCAAAACGTCGTCGAAGACCGCCTCATCATGAACCGCTTTTCTCAAATATCGGTGACAACCTCCACAATCTTAGCGAATGCGTCGAAGACCGCCCATCTCGTGATATCTTCTCAAATCGTGGTGATAACCTCCACAATCTTAGTGAATGCTGTCGAAGACCGCCCATCTCGTGTTATCTTCTCAAATCATAGTGACAACCTCCACAATCTTAGCGAATGCTGTCGAAGACGTACTGCCCATCTCATGATGTCTTCTCAAAAATTTGGTGACAGCCTCCATAATCTTAGCGAATGCCGTCGAAGACTGCCCATCTTGTGCTGTCTTCTCAAATATTTGTGATAACCTCCACATTCTTAGCGAATGTGTCGAAAATAACTTTACTTGAAGTCATCCTCAGTTATTGCGATAATATTCTGAAGAAAATTATCAAAGACCCACGCTTGTCGATCTTTAAAGTTCGCTTGAACTTTGCTTTAGCAAGTGCGTCGGCGCTTTTGCTGTTCATGAACCAGTATGTCGGTGCTTTGTTGTCTATGAACCATTGTATTGGTGCCTTTACAATGAGCGAATGTTTAGGCGGTTTAAGCTATGTGAGGTGATCTTTTGTCAGGTCGATCACTTATTTGTGATAGTAATCAAACCGACTACTTAATCATGTCAAATTGCTTAAGGAGGCAAATTGGCGTACCAAGGAACCTAGAAATTGCTACACTAGGTCCGCATAATCTAGGATGGGGGCCACGCATTGTGTCGCCACACCCGCACTCGCTAGAACTATCTGGCGCCACATTATGCTTTTATCGCCAGGCGACAGATGTCGTCGACAAGCGACATCGTTGTCATCTGGCGTTGGTGTCAGGACTTCCCTATTTTTCCCTTTCTGCTGTTGTTCGTTGCTTGGTTTCGCTTAAAACTTTTAACATGGTCATTTCCTGTCAACCAAATCCGCTCAAATATTTTTAAAATTAAAGGTCTTCATCTCTAATTTACTAATCCATGTAATTTTGCTCAAACTCCTCTTATCTTGGAAGAATTTCATATATCATATTCGCGGCTTTTTTTAAAAAAAATCTGGGAATGTCCTCGCTTGTTGGGATGCACCTGCATTTACATTTTTTACTATAGGACTTTTCTCATCTCTTTCTTTAGGGTTGACTTAAGGCTTAGTGTTGCTTGACTCATTGACTTGACATGACTCAAGGTATGATTACTCTCTTCATGTGACTCGTGTGTGCGGAGTGTTGAATCCTGCACGAAAAAAAAATTCCGTCATTTTTGTGGAGGGTACCGACTTTCTCCCGAAAAAGAAAGATGCTAAAAAAAAGAAGGGAAGTTTTTTGAAGGTGCATGTTAAATGAGCTTAATCAGTTAACGTTACCACTCACAGTACAAGGATTGTAACATCTTAGACTATCCTAGTTGACTTAATAATGAAAGTATTCAGGTAACTTAGACGCGGAGGCTAAGTACTTCATACTTTGTTATGCAATGATGATTGATGATGATATGACAAGGCATGCTTCAGCGTTGTGGTAAGATTTCATGACAAAGTGTTCCTAAGGGAAGTATATTTTGTCATGTATCAGTGCAGTGTGTGAAAGTGACACTAAAGTTAGGCTGCAAAGGCTAAGTGTGTGGAAAAATATATTGAGAAGAGTCAATTGGTGGTGACTCTTAGGCTAGGTAGGCTTACAATGTAGGGATCAAGCCCCCAAGTATAGCTCTAAATGAAAAGGGATGAGCACAGGGGGTCCCTTGATATGATCAATTATGAACGTAAATATGAATGCATTTTTATTACGGCCACACCTTGATGTGATGTTGCCTACGTATCCGTTAGGAATCAGGCTGAACGTAGCTCTAGCTGAACCTCTCAAAAGTGTGTGTATACCTCAAAAAGGTCATTTGAAGGGTTGTAACGTGGTTAGGCTAAAGGTTGAAGAAGAAAGGGATAAAAGCTCAAGACCCTAGATAAGCCCCCTAGGTGTGTAACCTTGCTTTTGAATCTTTATATTTTCATGCTTGAGGTTTCTTACTTTTGAACTCTCTATTGTTTATATATATATATATATATATATATATATATATATATATATATATATATATATATATATATATATATATATATACTCTCTCTTTTTTTTCGCTTTTGCATTTTTTTTTTTTTTATAAGTGTGGGCAATCCCGATCATGCGGTCTATCACTCACTTGGCATTCATGTTTCTCAGGCATGGTACCGAGCACTTAATAAGAGACGCAATCTGAAACATGTTCATGTCAAAGACATTGGAACACTTGCCCTTTTGTACACTTTTATTTATTTATTTATTTATTTATTTATTTATTTATTTATTTATTTATTTATTTTATTTATTTATTTATTTATTTATTTATTTATTTATTTATTTATTTATTTATTTATTTATTTATTTATTTATTTATTTATTTATTTATTTATTTATTTATTTATTTTATTTATTTATTTATTTATTTATTTATTTATTTATTTATTTTATTTATTTGTTGATACACTCAAGCTTTTGTTCTCTGAAAATTGTATAAGTTGCACACCATCTCATCCCAAATTTAGGTAGATATGGGTTGAAAAATTAAAGGTCTATCGTTAGAGGAGGCTCAAAGTGGTTTATCAAAAAAAGGATTGTATATTTGAAGGGTGAAAGGTAATATGATGTGGCTACAAGGGGTGCCTGAAATCATTGGTATATCTTAGTTCAACAATGTTTTTTTTTTAGTAAGCGATGTAGTGTAATGATCATATGCAAGGAAATAAATACTCATCTTTATTAAAAAAGGAAAAAAGAAAAGTCTTACAAATTAAAGTAAATATAAGGAATATAGAAAGTGCCTATGCTAGACTTATTAGGGAAAGGATAAATAAAAAAAGAAAAAGAGGAGGTCACGAAATCTTGTCGTTGAAGCTCACCTTTGTCTTGTGTCGTTTGCTTTATTATCACTCGCTCTCCTTGCTAGCTGGAGGCATGGGAAGCTTGTTATTATGGATCAAATGTTGGATTTCTTCCTTTAGCGTCCAACAACTCTCAGTAGTATGACCCCTACCTTGATGATATTTGCAATGTGCATCTAGATTCCAACTAGGCAATCTCTTTTTAGGTGTAGAATCATGAATAGGTCCAATGGGAGTAATGAGTCCCTTAGCATGGAGTCGATCGAAGGCAGTATCGTAGATCATCCTAATTGGGGTGAAGTCTTTCCTTAGTTGCTTCTTATGTCCTTGGTTATTCATGGCTAAAACTTCACTGAGATAAAAGGTATTAACATTGTTACTAGAGTGGGTGTTTTCGGAAGAAGAAGGATTATCATTCTTCTTTCCTTTCCAGCAACTATGTTTGCTATTATTAGTAGCTTTTTGCTTTGCGAGGTCATCTTTTATCTCGATGCCTATGTCATAGATGGCTTTGAAAGTATTCAAGTTGTGTTGATATTTTAAATGCTTCGAATACTTCTCTTGGAGATTCTTGATAAACATCCTCACATATTCTTTTTTGGAGGGAACCTCAATCATTTTTTTTATTTTTTTTTGGAAAATAAGATTTTATTACGAAAGAGAGAATGTTACAACTTACAAAAGCTAAGTTATAACTACCACTAGAACACCAAAAGACCTGAAAACAATAGGCCAACCCCACAACCAGTTCTAGATCCAAGTCTAGCCACCTTCTAGGAAGGGTTCTAGGAAAAGCCAAGAACAACTGCACTCAGATTTCCGGCCACCTTCTAGGAAGGGTTCCGGAAACCAGGACCAGACAACAAAAAAAAACCAGAAAAACAACAAAGCCAAACACCCAAAAGTCACCAAAAACAACAATCGGGAGCAGACAAGCCTGCAAACTGACCATAAAACCAATAAAAACAAAAATAGGCAACAAAATGAGCAACAAAGCTTGCACCAACAACGGACGACAGGGCACAGAGCAAAAGACAGTAGACAGCAGTGCAAAGACCAGCAGAAACAGCAGCTCAGCAGCAACAGCAAGCAGAGCCAGCAAGCAGCAGCTCAGCAGACAGCAAGCAGAGCAGTGCACAGCAGCATCAGCAGCAAGCACAACAAGGCAAAGAACAGTGCAGAAGCAGCATAACATCAGTACAGCAGCAACAGACAGCAGTACAAGAGTGCAGCAGCAGCATAACAACAGCACAGCAGCAGCAGATAGCAGTACAGCAGTGCAGCAGCAGTAACCAGCATCAAACATCAGCAACAAAGAGAAGCAACAAAAACAGCAACACAACAGCAGTGCAGTAGCACAAACAGCAGTGCAGCAGTAACAGCAAATAACCAGCATTACCCAGCAGTATACAACAGCACACCTAGCTGAACACAGCACCAGCAGTGCATAGACAGCAAGGCAAACAGCAGCAACCCGCATACAGCATAGAAAAACAGTTAGCAGAAAAAGAATAACAAACAAAAAAGATGCACCGGGAGCCTCAGCATCAAGAAAATAAGAGGAGCCCGAGACAAGCCCTAAACAATCAAATATTTGCTTCCCGCCGGGATTCTACAAACTGAATGAAAGACAATATCCCGAACAAGGGCATCAACAGATTTGCAGCAACCAGTAAAGAGAACTACATTCCTGTGGATCCAAATACCATAAGTTGTTTCAGTGCAGGCCACCTGGATCACTTTATTCTTCAATCCGGAACTTCTGCAGATTTTCTTCATCCAATCGACCTCATCACTAAACTGATGAACAGGCTTGGAAACATGTAAGATACCCAAAACCTTGCTCTAAACCTTTCTAGAGAAACCACAATCAAAAAATAAATGCTGAACACTTTCATTGCCATTCAGACACAGGAAACACTTTGGATCACAAGAGATGTGCCATTGAAGCAATCTATCCTTAGTGACAAGCCTATTCCACAAAGCTAGCCACAAGATAAAAACACTTTTGGGAGTTGCTAAGTTATGGCAAGTAACTCTCTTCCAAGGAACTTTAGGCACTTGAGGCCTAATAGCAGCATAAAGCTTCTTGATTTTCAACTTGTTGCCCTGAACGAACCCATCCCATCCCCCTTGATCATTCACAATATCTCTACAACTCAAAATCTTCTTCAAGAACCAAGAGCATCTAGCAGGGGTAGGGGTGGTCCAACAATCTTTATGCTTGAAATAGTAGATATGGACCCACTTAACCCAATGATTATCAGCCTTGTGAGCAATATCCCAAAGTAACTTAGTGACAGCTGCTTTATTCCACTCAGGAAGAGAAAGCAAGTTCCAGCCACCGCAAACTTTAGCAAAACAGACATTATTCCAAGCAACCAAAGACTTCTTAGCAGGAGCAGAGGATCCAGTCCAAAGAAAGCACCTGAACCTAGCCTCAATCTCTTTCAGAATTTTTTTCGGAAGAATAAAAATTTGAGCCCAATAAGTCTGGATACCAAACAACACACTCTTCACCAATTGAAGCCTCCCAGCATAGGACAAGTGTTTAACCATCCACCCTTGAATTCTAGCAGTGACTCTCTCCACCAAAGGCCTACATTGAGCAATAGTAAGCTTCTTTGAAGAGAGAGGGACCCCAAGATATCTAAAAGGAATGGAGCCTTGAGAAATACCAAGAAGCTCCCTCAACTCTTTCTGAACATCAACAGAGACTCCTCTAAAGTAGACTTCACTTTTATCAAGATTAGCAGAAAGCCCAGAGGCACCCGAGAATTTCGAGAAGGCTTGGAAGAGAAGCTTAACAGAAACACTATCAGCTCGAGAAAACATCAATAAGTCATCAACAAACATCATGTGAGTTAGGTTTAACTTTTCACATCTAGGGTGAAAGTTAAAATCAGGAGATAACCTAAGCTCATTAAGGCATCTGGAGAGGTATTCCATACCAATAGCAAAGAGAAAGGGAGACATAGGGTCACCTTGTCTTAACCCTTTCTTAGCTTCAAAGGGGGGGGGGGCAGGAAAACCATTAATAAGAATAGAGTAAGAAACAGAAGTAAGACAATTCCAGATCCAATCAACAAATCTCTGAGGGAAACCAAGCTCCTGCAGACAGTGATCAAGAATCCTCACTCAACTAAATCATAAGCTTTCTTCAAATCCACCTTAACCATACACCTGGGAGAGATAAATTTGTGATCATAGCCTTTGATCAGTTCAGTTGCAAGAAGAATATTTTCACCAATGTGCTTGCTAGGAATGAACCCTGCCTGAGCATCATCAATCACCTCACCAATGACATCAGCAAGCCTAGCAGTTATAACCTTAGAAATGAGCTTATAGACCACAGTACAACAGGCTATAGGTCTAAAATCCTTAACATGAGAAGCAGAAAGGACTTTAGGAACCAAAGTGATAGTTGTGCAATTCCATTGCCTAGGTAAGGTCCCATTATTAAAGAAATCAATAACACTTGCATAAATATCATCTTTCACAATATGCCACGCTCTCTTAAAGAAAAAGGAGTTAAAGCCATCAATACCAGGAGCTTTAGTGTTATCAATTCCCTTAAGGGCGACATCAATTTCAACATAAGAAATAGGCCTAATGAGGTAGCTCTGAGCAGCAGAGCTAAGCTGCTTACCCCTGCTCATAGTAACAAGGTCAACACCAGGGAGCTAAGAAGCCTGAGTCCCTAAAAGAGACTTATAGAAAGAGATAATTTCATGAGAAATAACATCTGTATCCTTGGGCAACACCTGATTAGAATCAAATATGGAATCAATTCTATTCCTTCCTTGCCTAGTCTTCATCACAGAGAAGAAGTAGTGAGAATTGCCATCTCCATGCTTAACCCAATGAATCCTAGACTTTTGCTTGAAGATGCTTTCCTGAATATCATTCCAGTGCTTAACAACCTTAATAGCATCAGATTCTTTACCATATAAATCCAAATCATCAGGGTTCTGAGCCATTAAGTTTTGAATTCTAGAAAGCTCAACATTAGCCTGGTCAATCTTTTCCTCAATGTTACCAAACTGCTTGCTATTAAGAGATTTGATACTAGACTTCACAGAATTGAGCTTCTGCCAAACAGAACTACCAGAACCCCAAGCCTGCGAAACAATATCAAGAAAATCAGGGTGATCAGCAATACAATTTAGAAATCGGAAAGGTCTACCTTTCCCAACAGGGCCGGAGCAAATATCCAACAGAACTGGACTATGATCAGATAAAGAAGGAGGCACTACTACAAAAATGGTCAAAGGAACCTATGATAAAAGACCCATTGATTATTTCAACGGCTCTCTTTAATATAATAGATCTGATATTAGAGATAACGGGTCTCTTTTGTATCAAAGGGCCCACCAAAAGATAGAGGAAAAAAAAAGAGACCCGTAATTGATTTAACAGGTCTCTTATATGTGCAAGGACCCACCACTTAAAGGAATGATAACAAAAACCTTATTTCTTCTCTTCATATTCCCCATTTCAATTACCCTCCTTCACGCCGCTTTCATCCTCCATCACTCCATCACTATTCATCCTCCTTCTCTTTGAAGAAATATCTTCTAATAAATCAAGTCTCAACTCTGAAGAAAGGGAAAATGATAAAAGCTCTCTATATATCTACAACAATGGGTTCTCCATTACAATCCTAGATCCGCTTTCTCTCTCTTCTGAAACTGCTCATTCGGTCCTTCCCTTTCTCGGTTTTTTATTCCTCCTTTTGATTCGGTGTTCTGCGGCTTCTCGCTGGTGGTGTGGTGGTTTAAGGTGTCCTCCTCTAAATCTGTAGATTTTGATATTAAGGTTTTTTATTTTGATTTTTTTTTCTGATATATTTTTCTTAATTCAGCGAATTGGGCTTCAAATTGTGTAAATTTCCTTAATTTTCTTGTCAATTTATAGTAATCTCCTTATTAAGTTTTTTCATTTTTTTCCTAATATATCAATCGAAATCCTCAATCGAATCAATTGTTTCTCTAGTTTCCTTGCTGTGATATTTTTCTTTGCTTTTGGCCTCGATACCCTCTCTTTTGCATGAACTTCTAGATCCAAACAAATTGAGGATACAAAATTCATGATTAAATAAATTTAATTTGGGGCTTTTCTATTTTTTTTTTTTTTTGGAATTATAGTTCCATTATTCATAAGTATTTATTCATTTTCTACTTGAACATGCTATTTTATAGGTCTGCTTATTTGTAAGGGAATTGCATTCAAGCAATTCAATTTGCTCACCGAAGATATCTATCCACGTAAGCCTAGTTTTGTCTTTTAATTTTCTTTTTAATTTTTTTATATGGAATTCTCAATTATTACATTCGATATTTTAATTTTGTTTTTCAGATCTGCTTGATGTGGTTACAATCAAACAAAGAAGATAGCAAATGGAGCTAGAAGTTCATTATGTAATTGTAATTGTAATTGTAAATTTCAATAAATTCAAACAACCTTTTTGTTGGGATTTTATGTTTATTGATTTTTATTTTTTTCATCTCATCAAGTTGAAGTATAATTTGCATGTTACATACAAATTAAGTGTACAAATTAAGTATACAAATTACTAATACCAATTTATCTTTTAGTCCTCAATTCTTCCGATTTGTATACAGCATAAAAACAAAATTAATTAAAATGTAAAACGCAAAGAGACCCGTTATTTGACCTGACAGATCTATTTCATACCAGTTAAGCAGATCCCTTATATCAAACAACAGGTCTCTTTCACTTCAAAACTATCAATCTCATTGCGTAAATAACAGACCCGTTGTCACTGACAACGGGTCTCTTTGTTCGCACAAACAGACCCCTCATGAGAAAGGGTCTCTTAATCAAAGAGACCCCTGAGATAGAGACCCGTCCAAAGGTGGTCTTTCAAGCATATTTCAACGGGTTTCTTTGCCCATTTTTGTAGTAGTGAGGGAGATAAACAGTCTCCACATGCCCATGAGAAGCTAACCAAGCTTGATTACCAAAGACTCTATCAAGTCTAGAGAGCGTTCTAGGACAAGTATGAGCCTTATTAGACCAAGAGTAGAAGGACCCTTTGCTTTTGAGCTCAGTGAGGTCCAAATCATCAACCAAATTCAGAAAGTCTCTAGTCTCATAATCAGTAACATCAGCACCATGAAGCCTATCAGGAGTATGAAGAACAGAGTTATAGTCACCAACAAAAAGCCAAGGAGAATGCTGGATAGAGATGCTTCTGAGCCCCTCCCACAAAGAAAGCCTGTCATGAATGGAGTGAAGACCATAGACAACAGTGAGATAAATTTGAGTAGAGAGATCCTTAGAAGAAACAGTACAATGAATGAACTGTTCATGAATCTTCAAGACATTAACAGTTACTCTATCCACATTCCAACCAAGCCAAATCCTCCCTTTGGAAGAATTATCATAATTACACAACCAAAGCCAAGAGAGCCAAACTTCCTCTGATAAGTGAGAACATTTTTCAATTTGATTTTTGTTTCAAGCAATCCAACAACATCAACTGAATGAGAATGAAGCAACCTCCTTACAGAGGCAACTTTGCCAGGGTCATTCAGGCCCCTGACATTCCAAACAGAGTAAATCATGACACGAAAGGGGGATTAACCTCACCCCCGCTTGGATTTATAGTGAAACCACCTACACCATCCATTTCATTTGCAAATAAAGCAACAAAGGCATTAGAGGTAGAAGCAGGCTGATGAACTCTAGTTTGCTGGCTTTTTGTCTTCCTCCCTACTATTCTCCACCCCTCATCTGAATTCTTAGAGGTATGAACTTGTGGAGTAATAATAGATTGTCCATGAACAGAAACACCAACATCAACACCAGTAGTAGAAGCAGGAACATGGGTAGGCTTAGGAGCCCAAACTTGCTTTTGCTGAGGAGGAACAGGAGCCGGTTGCTTAGAAGCCTGCTTAGGCATAGGAGGCTTAACAGAGCAATCATGACCAATCTTGTTACACTTAGAGCAAAAGAAGGAGCCCACTCATACACCACCCTGATCTCCAATAATTCCTTCGAAGGACTCTCAACCCACACAGAGGTGGGCATAGGCTTTGTAACATCAATTTCAATCAGAACCCTAGCAAAAGACACTCTAAGTTGTCTAGTAGTACACTCATCAGCACAAATTGGCACTCCAAGCAAACTACAAAGGCGGCTAAGAGTGTGAGATCCCCAACAATTAAGTGGGAGATTAGGGAATTTAACCCAAAGAGGAATAGTTCTAAGAATTTCAGCATGAAAATCAAAATTGGGACACCACGGCTTCACTATTGCAGGCTTTCCAAAGAACATATGAGGACCAGAACAAAGTATAGTATCTCTATCATCACTAGAACACATATTGATAATAAAGTACCCATCATCATGCCAATACACATCTGGTTTTTGCATATCATTCCATTATTGAGCAAAGAAACGAAGAACAGCAGCAATAGTAGGATAAAAGCCAACCACATAAAAAACAAGAGCATTAGCCAATTTTCGATTACCTTCCTCAAGCTCGGCTGCCTGTAGCTCAGCAATGAGTTTCCCATCTTGCACTTTCGGAGCAACAAAGGATAATGTAGCCCCTTTTGCAGCCAATTTCCCAGTAAAAGATGCAGCTCGTTTGCTCCAGAACAGGGGAAGAAGCAGCACGGTTTTCAGCAGACTTGCGCGAGTTCAATTCCAAGGAAGAAAGAGAAGCAGCTCAATCCTCATTAACTTTGTTCACATTATGCTCCAGAGAGGGTGAGGAACAATGAACAGAACACCCTGGCTCACCACCGTGCCCAGATCCACCATCATCCAATGGAACAGTAAACCCAGAAACCCTAGGTACTGTTCCATTGGACAGACTCGGCCTAGCAGCAGCTTCAGCAACAAAAGTAGCTTCAGCATCCAATGGAACACCGGAAATAGCACCACAAGCCATCTGAACTAATGCCGGCGCCGGAGTAAGCAGTCCATCCCCCTCTTGAATCGGGCTAGGAACGAAAGGGGTACTTGAAATTCCCAAATTTTGCAAAATCGAACCAACAACTTCATGAGCAGTCTTTTATTGCGCTACTTGAGGTGTAGAAATAGCTTGCTTCTTCTTCTTTGCCATTGATATCCAGATTTGATGAAGAAAACCAATCAAAAAAGAAGAACCATGAAGAAGAGAGAGAAGAGAGAAAGTCAACGAAAGTCAAACCTTAACCTCAATCATTTTAGCGGAAATTTCCCTCTACTTATTATAGAAAGAAGTAAAGCCTTCATTCTCTCTTTTTCTTAGAATCTCAAGTTGTCTATAATCGGTTTTGACTTGAATATTGCACTTATATCTATCAATGAAAGCGCTTACTATCGATTCCCATGTATAGGTTTTCTCTTTGTTAAGGGAGAAGAACCATTGTTGGCAAAAGGTTTCAAGAGATAAGGAAAACAAGGAATGAAAGTCTTTCTTATTAATCCTCTTAATGTTCATTATAGTTTCAAAGGCTCTTAAGTGAAGATTAGGATTATTGGTTGCCTTGAATTTAGGGATGTCAGTGGCATTGAACTTCTGCGAAAGAAGCTCATTGTCCACCGAGAACCCTTGTGAGCTAATGCCCTGGAATTTATAGTCATTGGATATCTTTCTCAAGCTCTCTTGCATGAGCTCCATTTGTTGTTGCTTCACAGGGTCATTGATCTTGAGGGTTAAAGCCTTCAACGCCTCAGTCACGTCAACCATTTGCTTCTTAAGCTCATTGACCTCTTCTTGACTTGCCAGTATTTTCTTAGCTTTTCTTTTTCAACTCACTAGTTTATCAAAAAGTTGAACTTAAATGAAGGTGTTTTCCTTGATTAATCGCTCTTCTCTCCTTGACCAAGTACTGTGGAAAGGGAAATTAAGGATATTCTTTGTTAATTATTTGACTCAAATTCTATTCGACATGCAAGGATGGAAGAAGGTAGGAAGAATAAAGAGAGGAATCGAGTAGATAATGGAAAGATGATGTAGATGGAGAGATATGAAAAAATTAGGAATAGAATGTACCCCCAACTCAAATTAGGAAAAAACCGACTCATGCATGAACCTAAGACATGGTCATGGTGACATATACAAAGTGTGTACTAACACTAGTGAGTGTAGTGACATGTTAAGACTCGTGTCATTACCATGTGGCTAGACTATGTGACTAGACTCAAGCAAAGACTAAGTTAAGACTTCATGTATATGCATTAAACTGGACAGCCTGTGGTATTTTAGTCATAACGTTTTACTTGTGACTCTGATTGGGATGAAACCAACTCCATATTAAAGATGCAACTCGGGGCTACAGATCCATAGGTTGTACGACTCGTAGTTCTTCCTAGAACTCCGAAAATGACCAAAACAAGTTGACGATTGTGCAGTATATGGGAATAAAAATCCGAGTTGACTTAAAGGGACTATGACTCGATTTTAGACATATTTATTAGCTCAAATTAATTAATTAATTAAGAAAATTCCTTTAGTCATTCATTAGTTTATTAAGACTTATTTACGAACACAAGTCAAACCAAAAGGTAAGTTTAGTCACATAATAAGTATGCACAAGTAAGAGATGCACAAGTAGTCAGGTAGTCACAACATGATGCAATGAGTTTGCAACGTAACCATGGCTCTATTTCTCTAATGTTCGGGATATGGGTTAGTCAAAGAGCGTCCATGGTTAATTTTCTGGATGCACCGCGCGGAAGCCTTACCATTTGAAGGGTTGGCGCGAGTGGATGGGACACCGCGAGTTAAAAACTCACTTCCATGGTTTGGTGAATTCAACATTCTCGGATGTATCCTTTGTTGCACAGAGCGTTCAATCAGGTAGATGGATCATGAATTCGTAGAGGGTTATGTCCATATGAAGAACACATATGGGTTTTAGAAAAGTGAGAAAAACTCAATCAGGAAGTAGGATCGAGCAAAAAGTGCTAAAAACTGGTCAAAATTAGAACGCGTATTTCTGGCTCGGTATTGGAAGAACTTGGCGCCAGCGAACAGAGGCCATCGTCGCAATTTGGTTTTGTCTCCTTGCGACAGGAGTGTCACCTGGCGACAGACTCTGTTTTCTGATGCCAGTTCCTACATGCCTCAGCAGCTTTCTGTGCTCGATAACATTTTCCAGTTTTGCGTAGCATTATTTCGATCCTAGTTGTGAAAGATACTCCTCAAATTTCCTATGTGTAAAAATCCTATGTTCTTAATTCATTACGGATGGTCTTTCCAATGGATCTTTTTTATGCATATGACAATAATGTTAATCAAAATTATGCACATGAAATACTTAGAACTTTCCGAGTCTCATCCACTCATTCTAAATCATTTCCAAAATAAATTTTAGGAATTAAAATAGAAATCCTCCCCAGTGTAGTCGCCAAAAAACTATAGGGAATATTTCAAGCATTACCCCAAACTTGAACCCCACTATGATCATACACTTAAGCATGGTGGCGTCCAAAGGAAAGGAAGCTAGAGTAAAAGAGTCGCCAACAAGTTTTAAGAACTTGTAAACCGTTCACAGGGTGAAGGTTACACCCCTTAGCGATCCAGGAGATCGTCAACTCCAATAGGTCTAGAACAATGACTGATAGTTTGGGGATGAAGGTGCAAATCCAACCTAAATGAGATTGAACCTGCCCTAATAATAGGCCTCTACATTATTCTTCTCATATTCATGTGCGCTTTCAGATTAACATGCAATCAATACGTTAACCCTGAACCTGTTTATCTATGTTGGTTGAATATTAATGCACAAATAAATCTTTTATTGGCAATCACTTGAATTATAATCAAATTAACCCTGAACAAGATTATTAATTATTTTATTAAGCGTGATTACAAGTAGGAATTCCTTTTAAACATGCATAAAAGGCGTGATCAAGTAATAACAATAATTATCAAGCAGCATAATAATAACAATAATCATAATAAACTACTACAATTCTGATCTATTGCAACCCCCAAATCCGTTGCATTAGGCGTCAAAATCCGTGGCATTAGGCCTAATGCAACGGCCATGTACCGTGGCATCTGCTGGCGTTGCAATAGGTCTAATGCAACGGCATATAACACCTAATGCCACGACACCAATGATCCGTGGCAATAGACCAATACCTGTTGCAACGACATAACTTATCCGTGGCAATATAGTACTGACTAATAATTATGATGAAATTGAACCTATTGCAACGGATGAAGCTAATTAATACAATGATAGGAGTACGTATCTACTGCAACGGATTGATATTTTTTTTTTTGTTGGGATGGGATGGTAATATAATATATGTATAATTAGTCAGTACAAATTAAAATATGCTAACAGAAACAAATTAAAGTATCATTTATATATAATAATTATAATGCGAAATACGTACATTATTTCCCTTAAAGGGAAAAGTTACAAAATCAAATTTCACAAATTAAATTAATTGAGAAAACTACAACGACTACAATCTTTGAGAGGCAAGCGACCAACATTAGCAGGTGAACAGCAGCAGTAGAGACCAGCAACACAACAAGCTGTCCCAACATCAACAAGCTCAGTAGAACGACAGCAGCAGCCAAAACCAGGCATGCACAACACCATGCAGAAAG